CAAGTAGCGGAATGCTACAGAGGTAAACAAACAATATCATTTGGAAGAGGATTAATAAGTGTTGACATTCATACAAATGAGTAATCCTGTAAACGTAAACAGAATATTTTATATAGATTTTTTTTAATGAAAACTTAAAATCCTGCATTATTTTCCGGACAACCCAATATTATGTAATGATAAAAAATTAGCCAACAACCCCATTTTAGAAACAACATATAGCATGAACTCATATAATGTTATTGAAAATGGAGTCGCTATGAATTTATGTTCAGAGATATCCCGTTGTTTACTGTAAATGGACATTTTTGAACTATTTTCTTACAATTATATTGATGTATTGGATCTTCTTGAGGTCATTTTACAGGTAAATAAAAAACACATCACTATTGGGTTTCACCAAGCTTTCGGCGAATGTTCCACCATCGCTTGGTGAAACCCAATAGTGATGTGTTTTTTATTCACCTGTAAAATGACCTCAAGAAGATCCAATACATCAATTTAAACTACGGAGGTCGATCAATATCAACTAGAATTCTTACAATTATGTTTATATATGGACGAAAGTATATATTTATGAGTACTGCTACGACGTTCATCCAAAAGGCTTCGAGGTTTTAAAAGGGTTATTATCACAAACGGAATGCTTCGGCGGTATATCTTACAACGGGACCACTTGTTGATTAGCCACGGGCACAAATTCACCCTGGAAGGAGAAGGCTGTCGATTTTCTGATAAAGTTTCTTTACTTCATGAGAATGCATCAATCATCCCGGCCATCTTTGTTTGGTTAAAGGTAAGCCCGTGGGGTGGGCGCTCGTTTGTCAAGAGTCTTCCCTCAGGGGCACCTCTCACTCTTTGCAAACCTCGTGCCCGTCCCTTCGGTTACAGGTGTCAACAAGGCAGACCCGTTTTTCAAGTCACAGGAAAGAAAGTCTAGAAATGTAAATTTATTAGAATCCGCTCCGACAAAAGGAGAAAGTTTGTAAAGGGCTACGTGGTGGGAGGGGGGTGACAGAGACCCTGATTTAAAGGCGTCGACTCGCTGATTCTCTTCCGCTCATACCTGTCAGAATTAATACAAAATTATTCTTAAACTTAGCTCCTGATATAGCTTGTGTCAATTTTACAAAAGAACTGATGTTTTTTATTAACTATGTATGTCGAAAGAGAGAAAATTTTGACAATTAAAATTGGTGTACAGAATAGTGTTACCAGTAAGTAATAAGTCACAGAATACTCTTACTTATTTTATTCTTCCACTTGTGGATTCAAGTTAACTCTGTTATTTTTGTCACAGAAAGAAAATGGTTCATCGTTAAAATTGTTTTATTCTATCAAATTTAAAAAGGTAAAACGTTTCTTATGACAAAAATTTATAAGAAGTAGAATTTGTTTTAATGAAAATATTCAATGTTCTTTGGGCTCAAATTCACAAGTCAAGCTTGATAGAATTTCAAGGAATTGAAATAACAGAAGGTTACCTTCAAGGGACGTCATTGAGCTTAGGATATGAGGCAAGGTTATAATTGTTAAATCCATTAGAGTTCGTGGTCCAATTGACCAAATGACTTCTTTCAATAAATTATTCTTTACGTAAGGCATTGGTTGAGATAAAAAAGACAGTGTCACGAGCGGGATTCGAACCCACGACCTTCGCTAATACGCCGCTACTCTACAACTTGAGACACTCACACTCAGTAGCGGCGAAGGTCGTGGGTTCGAATCCCGCTCGTGACACTGACTTTTTTATCTCAACCAATACCTTACATAAAGATTAATTAATTGAAAGAAATTATAATTGTTGTTGCATTCTTATAAATTACACTTCTGTGTTCTACTATACTATAACACAAGTTACTCTAGTATTTGAAAATTATTTTTAATTAAAAATAGGTGCATGTGTTTTAAATGATTTTTTTATGTTAATGTAATCCTAATGTTTGCTGAAATACAATATTTGTTTTCGTGAAACACCAGCACAAGGAAAAGTCTCGGCCAGGTTCTTCACACATAGAACTTGCTTGTCTACACCCTCAAAATACGAAGACCGACCGAGTCAAGTTTCTCGTTAAATTAAAGCAAAACGGGAATTCGCGGATCATGAATTCCTTCCTGCGCCTACACTAAAGGCCGAATTCATTAATCGTCATTGAAACAAAGCGATGAACTAATGACGAGCCATTAGGCCTTTATTTCAGACAATGAGTTGAGCGGAGCATTGTACCTGTATCTCCTAATTAATACCCATGTTAACCAGGGTAAGAACAATAGGGAGAGATGTTCTAAGAAAGGGTTAATAACTCCAACGAACCCCGTACAAAGAGCCCGCAAGGTCTGTTTTCACACCATTAACCCTCCAATTCTCTTCAAGCGTTAAGCTTTTTTTAAACCCTCAGTGCTTCCTACTTTCCTCTCACGGTCTCATGTTTCTTTCCGTGTTTTTTGTCAAATTCAATTAGGGGAACCGTTGAAATTACTAAGGTAAGTTTTGTAAAACGAGGACTCTCGTGGTTCTTAAGTATTTCCTTCGTATACTCACCTAGATTGCCAGATAATGTATAAAATACACAAATTTAAACCAGATAAGGTATAATAAAATGTGGATATCTGGTATGCGATTATTTTGACTTGTTGCCCTTCAGCCGTCCATGCTAGTGTTAGCGCTTCGCCAAATTAAAAGTAAACACTCGCCGTGTGCTGTGTGAATAATTGATCAAGCACCCTTAAATACTGTTCAATATGCTGCAATATTATTATAATCAACAAATGACTTAACTAAACTAAACACTTTGCATGCAGGAAATACCAACTTCAAATAACGTTCTCCCCCGTCACTCACTCACTCTCACTCTCTCCTCTATCTATCTACCTATCTATCTTATCTATCTATCGATCTCGTCTTTCTCGCTCGTTGTTGCCATCATATTAATTATCTGTTTAAAATAATTTTTAAAAATTATGTCTTGTTCAATATATTTTCATGTTGCATTTAAAGTATTAGGCTGTTCGCTTACTCCAGCATTTTCAAAATTGTAAATACATAATATAATAAATACCCATTTTTTTCACTCTGATTTACACTGTCCACGATGAGATTAAAACGAAAAAAGTGTGGAACAGTTTTTGCCCCACACGTTTTTGTAAAAACTGAACAATTTTTGATTTGCAAAACGTTGATTATTCTTTTTTACACCATCACAATATTGTTCTTAAAATCAGAAAATATAAGTCCGGCAATTTCCATTTCTTTTACGAAATAATTCATTTTCTCACATCTTTTCTCATTATACTCATCAAGTCGAGAAATTGTTAGGCCGTGGAATTCATAAATCATAAACGTTGGCTACTTTTAAGGTATACTATTGCGGAAATAGACCAGTTTTTGCTACAGTGAATCCGGCAATTTCAATTTCTTTGTCAATAGAACTAAAGTAATTTCCCTCTAATCTGTAATTTCTTATGTGTAAGCCAGTGATTCTAAAGGTAGACTACTTACGATAAAATTTTAAAACTGTTAGCAAAGGTTACATTTATCATAAATTATGAGCCATGGCATATTGGCAAATTATGAGCCAAAGACGACACAACGCCAGGTAGTCTGAGGCTAAAGGCAAACGAGTTAGGTTTTCAATAATAAATACGGTTATTTCAAAAACGGCAATGTTTGGGAACAA